GGTCAGTTAGAATCCAATGTCTCGTGAATTCTCCAAAATACTACTCTACTGTGACACAGAATTACATTATAATTTAGCATAGCTCACATGGAAGTTTGTTGTGGTATTTATTTATTTATTCAGTTAGTTATTTGGGGGTAGCCCTCAGAACCAGAAGAGGTTCAGGGAGCTCCCTGCTGTGGTATTTAGGTTAGGTATTCCAGAGACATATTTTGAAGCATCTATATCCCTTTCACTAACATGTCTAGTAGCACTGACTATACCTATGGTCTCTGTAAGCGGTCTTACTATTAAACAAAAACTTGCAGGAAATTTCCTGAAATGTATTCCCGACAGCAGGTGAAATCTATTGCTTGAGATATGCTTTTGTTTGTTTTTGTTTGGTTTTGAAATGTTTTATTAAAGGCCAGGCTTTTCCCACCCCCATCAAATCCCTTAGCTGCCAAGACTCATCTAAGTGGCTCCCTGGGGATTATAATCCTTCTAAGAATGTGAGCAAAAGAGAAATTATATCTGTTCACAAATTAAAATGTCCTTTGTAAAAGTAAATCTAAGGAACTTGAAAATCTAAAAGACATTAACAGAAAGCCATCAGGAAAATCTTGAAATAAGTTATACTTGGTTTTCTCTGGCTTATCAGTGGAGAAAGTTTTGGTGCTCTCTGGTACTCCTAACTGTCCACCCGTCTATGCTGTCTAGGTTAAAGAAAACTGCATTTATTCTTCTTATGCTCTTTTCAAGGAAGTTAGAAGTGGGTATAACGATGGTGACTTCCAGGCTTGCTGGGCTATTTGTAAAAATGCATCAATACCAACACATTTCAAGCAACAAGCTGAACCTTCCCTGGAGCAAATCACATTGTGAGGTTTCCTAATGAAACTGTGTTTTTGAATTAAGGAATAAATGCAAAATATGAACAGACGAAACATGTTTGAACTCAGAATCACTATATCTCAGATTTGCTAAGATTTGCAAGTGGTTAGGCAGTTCCATTTATCTTTAACACCTAAGATAGGCTTTCTTATAAATTCCTTTTAAAGTAGCTTTTTATATTGAAGTTAAAAAAAGATCTACATATAAAGCACCCTAAAAAGAATTTCTTGTCAATTAGAAATAATAATATTCACTTGTGATTAGCATACGGTATACTGCCATTTCAAAACTACCAGTGACTCATGTTACAAATGCAGCTATTTTTAGGATAGTATGTGAATGATGTTAACAATATCCCTTGAAAAAGGTACTATTTGATCAAGTATTTTGTGGATGAAAAAACAGAAGAAATGAATTTGTCATATCCCTAAATTACTGTTAGTAAAAGTGTTCACTTGGCCATCTGTATGTCCTTGCTTTTTGCTTAGTCAACAAATTACAGACACCAAAAAGCAATATGCTTTATATGAAATAGCTATGTATTTACACATTTTAAAGAAGAAATGTAAAGTCTCCTTAGACGTTATACAGCACATTTGATATCAAATTTAGGGCATCAGCATTCTGTATACATTTGTGCCTATCCTATTTACACTAAGGATTCTTGTAATTGCTGTGAAACCCTAGCAACTATGTCCTAGAAATAAAGTTAGCAAACTAAATGTGACTAAGCAGAAGTGTAAAATATTACTATAATTTGTGTAAGATTTAAGGTTTATTAAAAGGTTCCCCAAAACCAGTACTGGGGAAAACTATCCTAAGAAAGAATTCTGTGGCCAGCAGCCATGTGAGTACTGCGTATTCTAAACTTCCTAACAAGCACACTTTATTATTTTTTTTCTTTCCACCATTAATCACAGTCAATTAGCCGCTTTCTCATATGTCTTTTTGGAACACTTAGAACTTAAGATGAGTGCCTCAACTGTCCTCCATACATTGAATTGGGACAGCAGAGAAAAGCATTACGGCTGACTGACAACCGGATTACTGGTTCGTACTAGAAGAGCTGACGCAACCTTCAATACACCAGAACACAAGAAGCATGGTTCTACTTTTGCTTAAAATCATAAAACAGGTTATAAACAGCAAACGATGCACATTTGGTACCAAAATTAAAATGCAAGTTTAAAAATAATGGCTTAGGGGAAAGTTTCAGTGGAAACTGGGTCTAAGTAGGGCATACTATTGAGTAGAAACATTCCTGAAATGCTCCTTCAGTAAATACAGGCCTGCCTTTTCACAGCAGTTTTAATTCTAATTAAGACAAACATTTTAAATTAAGCCTTAAATATCCTGGTGAAGGCTCTTCAGTAAAATTGTCCTTGGTGGTTCCTCCCAAGGTAATTTATTTTGAAAGACAGAGATGTGGATCTCTTAAAATCTTCACAGAAGACGTTTCCCTCCCTGTTTTCTGCTACTCCACACAGCAAACAGAATGAAAAAAGCTGCTTGCCCTTTGGAACAGACAAGAAAAGCACTGCTGGTTTTGATTCGGGCATTCCCCTTCCTTTCAAAACACTGGTGGAGAGAAACTTCAAGTTCACACAACATAAGAAAGCACATGTTGTAAAGTGGGGACACAGAGCAATATTCCATATCTTGCTTCCTTTCCTCCACCCCCACCCTGCGTCCCACCATCACCGTGGAGAGCAAAAAATGAACTGCTATTATATACACAGAAAGTCAAGAACTTGTTCCAGAAAACCTCTAACAAAACCATCTCTACTTTTTACCCATTTGCTTATGAATTCTACTTTATCTGGGCTGAAAACTATTTTTTAAGGCAAGATAAGATGAAAGCTGGTTTTCAGAAACACAAATAGAAATATACACTGGGCTATGACTTTCAGCAAGGGGGTAGAATAAACGGGGAAAAATCCCAAACTGGGCCTGCCTTTGATTTTTACTTTGCAGAGTGATATTACCGCTATGTTTGCATTAGGCTTGTGTCTCCATACTTCCTTGACTAGAGAGGAAAAAAGCTGAGATAAATGGGTATGGAGGCAATTAAGAAAAGGTTAGCAAACACTGTATGTTGCTCTACAAACTCGAGCTGGCTTCTCCCCATTCCCTACATTCCTGGCCAAGAAAAATGGATAGTGGCCTAAAAAGCAAATGTGAGTTGAAACTGGTTTCTCTAACCTATCTGAAAAGTCTTTATGCAATCAGGGGGCTATTATTTCAGGAGACAGAGAGAAAGGGGCAAAACATTCACGTTGCTAAGGAGACGTGCAGAAGCTGTCATTCCTACATAAATTTTATTATTGAAGAGGGGAAAGGAGATATTTTCGCCAAAGTTTATTTGGATCCCCTGGTTACCGAAGAAAGAAATTGTGCCGATTTATTTTATCTTTAGTTGTAAACAGCCAACCCTGAAAGAATTGAAGGACCTAAATGTTGACCTCCTGCTGCCAACCAGTTCCCTCCACAGTGAATTAACCAACAAAGAGGAAACCCTTCAATGGGAATTTTGAGGTAGTATCAAAGAAAAAGCCTTTTTTAAACACAAAATTAAATTTACAGAAGAAACTTAATCAAATGAACTAATCTGTGTTATAACAGGAAACCAAAGACAAAGGAAAATCAGATTTTTGTGGCTTTTTGTGCTATTTCAACTTTGTTACAACTTGAAACGTTTCCAGGAAAGCTTTATAAATAGTCCCGAGAAGACATGAAACTGGAAGGAATGTAATGAGTTTCTCAGGTGTCTATGTGTGTGTGTGGGGGTGTGTGTGAGTGTGTGTGTGTGTGTGAGAGAGAGAGAGACAGAGAGAGAGAGAGAGAGAGAGAGAGAGAGAAAACCGCCGGCAGGTCCTCTCCCTTTATTCCCCTTTCTCTGCGCTGACACCAGCAGTTGAAGAATCAAAATTAGAAAGGAAGGGGTTTGTAGCAAGAAATCATAAGTTGACAGATTTCTGCTAAGGGCATAACTGGGGGGCCAGGGAAGGCAACTGGAGGGTCAGGGAGGGCGTAAAGCAGTAAAGCCCCCTGGGACTGGTAACCTCAGTAGCTACCTTATTCTCCACTTACCACCCCCATCTTATCCATTTGCAGCTTTCAGCGCTGGCGGAATAAAGCACAACTTTCTAGGCATCTGTGAGTAGCTCATGGAGAAAAGAAAGGTCTGGAGGAGAGAAGAGTTACTCAGAGTGGCAGAGAAAGAAAGGCAACTCGCAGTCAACGGCGGCGTCACCAAAAAAGGAAAGGAAAATAAGCCTGTCCCTCTCCCAACTCTTCATATCCATCAAAAACGTAAGGAAATAAAATCCAAACGGAAATACATTGGTGAAAACGCAGATAAGGGGGAGTGAAACCGGCAGAAATGTGAACACTAGGCAAATTCGTCCTCGAGAGAGGAGGGAAAAAAGAGTGGGGAAGACCGAACAGAGAACCCCCGCAGCATCTCGGTGGAGTTGGGGAGTTTTTGCCTGCTTCTTTTTTAACGGGGGTGTGGAAGGCGTCGCATTTTTTACACAGCCACATGGCTCTCGCCTCAAATGATAACAAATACCCAAAATAGCGTACGTGTTACTCCAGAACAGGAGGAATGGCCACGGGGGAGGGAGAGGGCGTGGGCTGTCGCTTTAGGTTTGGCGACCAGGGATGTGGAGGGAAGAGGGGTGGAGGCCAGGAAGGTGGCTGGAGCCCCAGGATCCGAGAAGGGCCTGGACGGGGTGGGACGGGCCAGGGCAGGGGACACGGGGAGGTGGGGACAGGTGGTGACTGTCCTGGCAGTGGGACGCGAGGCAGTCCGGGGCGGGAGGCAGGGGTCGCGGCGCGCCGGGCCCTCACCGCTGCTGAGCGTGGACTCGCAGTGCCAGATGTCCAAGCTGGCGGGTTTCCGGCAGGACTCCCACAACGACAGGTAGTACTGGTGGTCAGCCGTGACCCAGGCCGGGCTCAGCACAGCCCCCAGGTCCAGACACAGCGCCAGAAAGATGCACACCAGCCCGACCAGCTTCAAGGGGGTCAGCACCGACACGCGCACCTCCTCCATGCCGCTGCCCGCCGAAGCCATTCCTGGGAGCCGCTGTCTACTGCCCCGCCGCAGGCGAGGACGCCAGGCGGGTCCGGAGAGCCGGGAGCCGGACCTCTCAAGGGGGGAAGCCGCCGAGCCGCCACGCGCGGGGACTAGCTCCCTCGGGGCTCTGCGCGCCCCCTGCCGCGCGGCCAAGGTGGGTCTGCGGAGGCGGCCGGCCGGGTGGGGGTCGTCGGCAGCCGCAGCGACGTCTATTCCACCCCGGACCTTCGCTGCCGGCCCCGCGCCGCGCTCTGCCCGCGCTCGCGCCCGCTCCGCCCGGCTCGGCCGGGCTCGCTCCGCCCCGGCCCCTCCCCGGGCTGCGGGAGGCGGTGCCGAACGGGGAGGGGCGGAGGGCCAGCACTTGGTGGCTTAGGCTCCAGTTCCCAGTGCCGGAGGCTCGCGCCTGTCCCGCCCCTACCCCGCCTCTGGCCCGCGGGCGGAGCCCGGTGCCAGCCCGCGCCCCCGAGCGCGCGGCAGTTCCTTGAAGCAGCCCCGCGCCCCGCCCGGCCCTCGCCCGGCCCTGGCCCGGCCCCCAGCCTCACTGACTCCAGGTCGCCGGGCTCTCCCCCTTCGCCCAGTCACGTGGGTTTCCTTTTCTTAGGGAGCAAGAGTGGGCCGTTTTCTAGAAGGCGCCAGAAGTGGATTCCTAGGTTTCCTAAGCTGTGCTTCTTGGAGCAAGGACAGGTCCTCTGTCTCAGTGATGTAACACGCCCCTCCCCGGCCAATTTCACGTCCTGAGAGATTTGGAGGAAGGAGAAGAAAAGTGACTAAATGCATTTCGCCCTCTTTTCAAAACCAGAACGGGCCCAGGAGTCCCCTGGTTTTACCTATTTCCGCACTTCTCCGCTAGCCTGCTGCCACTTCTGTTCTCCGGGCTCGCCTGCTTTTGCGCACCCCCCCCCCCCCCCCACCCCACCGCCTTGAAGGGCATTTGCTCTGAAAACGCAAGCGCTAAAAAGGAAACGAGAGCTACTGCAAAATATGAAGTAAATCTTATTTGCGTCTCCACTGCTCTGCCCTTTGGGTGTTGGCTAAAACCTTTATTAATTCCGCTTTGCATTATGCCAAGCTGGATCTAATTCCCCTCCTGGGTATTAAGATGTCCTTGTCCTTAGCAAGATCTAGCCCAGGACCTGCAATAGGAAAAGTGATGTGTATATTTCCTGAATGGGAAACTAAGCAATCTACAAATACTTATTGAACATCTAAGGTCTAAGGATTCAGCACAATAGGACATCGTCCTGTTCTTAAGCAGATGCACCATATTTTCCCCCTATATGTGAGAACTAAACACCTCTTGAAATTGAAATTCTGTTAATTGCCTGGTTCAGTATGTGATTTGTGGGTTATCTGTCTTTTGTAGCTCTTTGACTCATCTCCATCTTTTCTATAAAAGAAATAATTTACTGAATAGATGAGTGAGGAGGGCGATGTTTCCAGATCTTTAGTCATCCCCAAAATTTGGTGAGACTCCCAAGACAGTGGTTAAGAGCCGAAGAATGCAAGAAACACGTTCTCTCTTTTATGAAACACAATCCTCAGTGTTGCAAGATTTCATACTTTTGGTTGATAAAAATTATTTTCCCCCAACCACATCTCTCCATACGTTGAACACATGTTGACTGCAGCAACACTTTAGGTGTAAGAAACAATCGAGTTAGTGTCAAATGAAAACGAACCTAATATAAAATAAAAACGCCCGAGCTTTTCTTATATTTACAATTTCGGGAACTTTTCTCCCACCTCTCAATCATTACCATGATAATTATTGCAGGACCCTTAACAAAGAATGCCTAGAGCATCCAGACCTCACTAACCTCCAAATCCCAAAGGGCTTCTTGGTTTCTCAACTAGAAAGAAGCCTAAGTGCATCTTCTCCTTAAAAACTTAGGGAACACTGAAAAATTTACAAACCGGGACAATTAATAGGTGACCAGGATTGTGTGACTGTTCTTTTATCTAGATTTATAATGTGTATTCAAAAGTAATAAGAAAATGTCTTGAGTATGTTTTCAAAGATATAAAGAAATCTTTATTTTGTCTCCAGCTTCTATCATCTTCTCTTTAATAAGCTTATTTTCCAATCAGCCAATAGTTTTCTTTATTCTCTTCAATGTAGGCTTTCTTTCCCCTCTACCCCTACTCCAACCCCCACCTCCACCCACATTTTTGCTTAATTTTTTCTGGCTTGTTCTCAACTGCTTACTTGAGTTACTCCATCCTTCTTTATGCTGCCTAAAAAATTGTCTCTATGCTGTCTCCAAAATTAGAAAAGTAAACCATTTTTAACAAAAAGTCAAATTCTCCTAAAAACTCTATTCCTCTATTAATAATTTATAGAATTTTGCACAACATAAGGCCCATCAACCACCCCGAATCCTCAATTTCAAAATACAATAAACTCTCAGAAGTATTTTTTTTTCTTTTCATGTATTTGTAGCAAACTCAAGGGCACAGGGACACTTCCTCTCCACCTGCTGAAGGTTCACTGAAAATGAACTGAGAAAAGGCAGATTATTTGGAGGAAAAAATGCATATAAAACTTATTTTATGTGCAGAGGGGAAAAAAAATCACAGGAGTGTGATTACCCAATAACCCATTGAGGTCCAGATGCTTATATACCCTTCTTCATAGAAAGAGAGATGGGAGTGTAGGAGTAAATGATTGCCCAGGGAAACTGGGCTCAAAGAACAATGGCCTGAAACAAAGTTTTTCTGAGTTCTGGGGAAAGTGGTGGTAAGGTGAGGGGCAGAATGTCACTGTGAACAAAGGTTGTCTAGTAATGCAGATTGGACCTCCCAGGTAATTTCTGAACTACCCTGGAAATAATAGATGAAAAGGCAGTCCTGACATGGTGAGAACTCCCAGTCTCTTCTGGGTGGTTAATCTTTCCTGGTTATTTGATGAGATTCCAAGGGAAGGGATCTTAAGATAATTGCATTTTTTTGAAAAGGAGTTTTCTTAGTTAGATAAGGAAATTCCAGAGGGAATTCCTCCTGGTGCTTCAGGAAACAATGAGAGTCAGAGAGACAGAGAGGCAGGGAAAAGTCAGAGAGAGACCTTGAGGCTGATTCTTGAATTCAGCATGTCAAAGCACCATATTTGGGGGTTTTGTTTTATCATCCAAAAGACCACCAGGATGGCTAAATAGTAGAAAGAAGAGCTTTATTGTCGATATTAGTTTTCAAACTGGGAAGAGAAGGTCTCTGGCAGGAGCCGAAGGTGCTCCCTCTTTGAATAGGGGAAGGACAGGTTGGGTTTTATACCTCAGGCGGTCCATATTACAAAATATAATCATACATATTCAGCAAGTTTGGAAGAAAAGCTATACATATTTTTCAGAGGAAAAGAACGCATGCCCAATGGGTAAACGTATATGTAACATCCCATGTTCACTTTGGGACAGGGTCTTAGCACTCAAATGAGGTGGAATTTGGCTCTTTACATCAAAAGGTGAACTGCATGACACAAAGACAGTTTCTGTGCAGCCTCTATAAGCTGGCTGAAATTTGCTTAAGGTCTGTAATTGCTTATCAGAAGAGAATGTTTATAAGGCCCATATTATGTCCAGTCAGAGTTGCAGTGGTCTCTGTTGTAAATTAGTTAGTAGGAATCTGATAAATCCTATTGTTTGGAAGTTCAGAGCAGTAGGAATCTGTAAATCTGCCATGCTAGCTAGGCCCTGAACCCTAGACCCATAAGTCATTTTGTTTCCTTAACCATAGGTTCATATTAGCTAATATAGGGGCATCTGTTTCTCAGATTAGAGCTTTATGATCCCCAGCAGTGGGAAAACATATTTCAAACTGATGTGAGGCTATCTGTGGTTTCAATTTATCCCGTTTAGTGTGAAGAAATATGTAGGCAGAGATCCTGTTGTAAAATTTACAGTGTATGCATCATAGTATTCTTCAAATATCTGAAAAGTCATGATTTGCCCAACATAGCTGGCCCCAAAAGTTTCATATGAAAGACAGTAGACTTGGCCGGGAGTGGTGGCTCATGCTTGTAATCCCAGCACTTTGGGAGGATGAGGCAGGTGGATCAATTGAGGTCAGGAGTTTGAGACCAGACTGGCCAACAGGGCGAAACCCCGTCTCTACTAAAAATACAAAAATTAGCCGGGCGTGGTCGTGCATGCCTATAATCCCAGCTACTGGGGAGGCTGATGCAGGAGAATCGCGTGAACTCAGGAGGCAGAGGTGGCGATGAGCCAAGATTGCACCATTGCACTCTGGCCTGGGCAACAGAGCAAGGCTCTGTCTAAAAAAAAAGAAAAAAAAAAAAAGATGATAAACTTGTATTTATCCTAAAGATGGGAAGAGTAGAATGGGAGATTCCAAACATTGAATGAAAACCTACCCTCAGAAAAGTATCTGACTGGAAGTGGATGGTAGTTGGGGTGGGAAGTGACAGTTAAGATTTATGTATATATCTTATGTATGTATCATATATGTGAATATATATATGTGTACGTGTGTGTGTGTGTGTGTGTGTGTGTGTGTGTGTGGCAGAAACAAAAATTAAAATAGACCCAGATTTGAGAAATGAGATTGAACTGTGAAGAAAATTCAAGTCCCTAGTCAGGAAGATTTAAGATCTCTTGGAAGGGATGGCTTTGTTGGCGCATTCTGTTTCATTTCTGGGATTTCTTGTTGCAATGTTGCAAATTTTTTGGCTTCAAATGATCATAAATGATGGTGATTGATAGTTGCTGTTTCTGCTTTTATTTAAAAAACAATGTTTATAAAAATTAATAATCCTGAATCAAAAAATCAAAATTTTATCATTTTCTTATGTCTTTTCTATTTTAAAAATATACTATACTGTTGAGTTAGATTTCAGTCAATAATATCACTTAATTTACTATTCACATTAGATGCTGTTTTGATTTCAAAGTAATTGATGTTTCACAGTAGGATCTATGACCATAATAATATAGTAGTCCACAAAAAAGGGAAACAAATCATGGAATTGGAAACACTAAAGGACATGAGAGGGAAAGGATGATTAGTTTTAAAATAAATGTGTTCATTGTAATGAAAGAAGTGTGCATCAGATGACCTGGAGGTAGGAATATGGGAAACTTAGACTATTCTCGTTGGGACCAATTCTAAATGCCTTTTCCATTTCCTTGTCAAGCATTCATTTCCTTAACAATGGTTACATATAGGGACAACTCTTCCTCCACATTTATATTGCATTTGTATTCATTTAAAGCTATGTGAAGAAATGACCAGGTGTATGTATATCAAGCACATCATTACTGCAGTTTTAATCTTTCTAGCTCCTTGTTTTTACAACTACAAGTTGAAACTTCTGGTTACCCTGAAGCAAGTGCATGCCTACAAACTTACTCTCATCATGGTGGAATTTTGGTTATCCTTGGACATCATCGTCATCATACATCATTTCTATATCTGTTTGGTAGTGTCCTGTGCTTGGGAACTAAATGGAAAATGGAACACCATAGCCTCAGAAATAGTTACCCTGAATAGCTGAAACATTGGTAGGTTGAGCAGGCTTAGTTGATTCTTGCTGGAGCTTGGAGGGCTAAGTGTAGAATCATGACTTATGTGTTGACTGAGACACAGATCAAGCGGTCAGAGTAGAGAAGGAAGGCATCAGGAAGTTATTTGTCCTCCGCCACTGCTCTTCATGGAGCTGGCTAGTTAAGCTTTATCTGTGACTTTAAATTTTAGTCAAATCCATCTTTATGGACTTCTTGGTGAATTTTCATAGACAATCTTCATAGAAACATTTTGTCCTAGTGCCTTTGAATGAAGATGCTTGCAGATAGATGGAAAAAGTCTAAGAATTTCCAGCTTAGACACCCCCTTCCTGAATTTGAGTCCTGTTTTGTCAGTTTCCCACCTTAGCAATAGATTTTGATTGACCAGATGACCAGCACTGTTGTGTTCACTGCCATGTGCTTATTTTTTGTAATATAGAAAATCTCAAAACTGTCGTAGCTGGGAGCCCTTCCCCAATGTTCTCCTGATGGACACTGTATCTGTAGTGTCAGAAAATTCTCCTTCATAAGAAAGTATGGGTACCTCCTCTCTTTTATGGTCAAGGACTCGCACTTGCAATGGGGACGAAAGTGACCCCAAATCGTACATCTGAAGTATAGTGATGGCTCAATGTCAACTAAAGGAAAAGCTGAAATTAAAAAGCATTAAGTAGAAAGAATACCTACAACAGTTTATACTCACATTCCAACTTAGACGAATGCAGCTAAGCTATTTCTCTTGAGTTTCCAAAAGCTGGTCTTAAATGTCAGCAGTACCAGGGGATTGAGGATAGTGGAATAAAGATTCTCTTAGGAATTTTATTTCAGTGTAGCTCTCTCCTTTAGATTTCACCTTTTAAAATTAGTCTGTAAAGTGAGTATTACTGCATGGTATGTCCACAGTCTGTCAAAATTGAAAATGTCAGTTGATTCATGTCCAAACAAACATAGGTGGAAAAATATTAGAACAATATGAAGATCTGCGCTTATGTCATTTCTGAATCATTTTCTTTTCAACTTTAGTCTACGTGTTTCACACTTTTCCCCCCTCTCCTTTCAAGCTTTCTTATCTTTGGTAAATAAGAATCGGAATCTCTTTAAATTCATCAAGACCAAGGTTAAAATACTCACTTTGAAACCTACTGACTGTATGGCTTTGAGCATGACATGAACTACAGTTCCCTCCTTTATAAAATGATATAATGCGTCACTGGGTTGTTGTGAGGATTAATGGGGTAATTTACATAAGGTGTAATGTCTGGCATATGGTATGCACGAACCGTGATTATTACATTATTATAATCCAGATGTCAACGAGGGCCTCCTAATCTCTGGGAGATTTAGGTGAACTTTGCTCAACTCTCCAATTTCATGATCCTTCAGAGTACAAAGTCCTTTCCAAAATTCTTGCCGCTTCTGTTCTCTGTATTTGGCTCTGCATCTTACACTGAATTCTTCCCCTTGAAAACCTGGGTGCAAATGCCAGTCCCTTTACCAATTTCTGGAAAAAAAAATCAAACGGCACTATTTAGTTTTGAGTTAATACAAGACTTTTCTAACTGCTTGAGAAGTCATAAGAAAGGGGTGCTACACAATGAAGAGGAAATACTTCCATATCTTGCTTGCCTCATCAGAACCCACATCTGCGCCCTCTTCTCTCTCTGTCAGTCTTCTCCCTCCTTTCTTTCCCCAGTGCTCATTCAGTAGTTTCCACCCCTAGTGCTCTAAACTCTTGCTACATGAAGTGCATACGCCATTATTACTGGCATCACCTGGAAGTTTGGTGGAAAACGCAGATTACTGGCCCCACCAGAAATTCAGACCTACTGAATCAAAATCTGTAATTTAAACGGGATTCCTAGTGACTCTTGTACAGGTTGAAGATTGAAAAGTGCTGATCCACGTCATCTTCTCAGGCCTCTTAGGGCTCAATGTCTACCCCAGTAACTGTATCAAAGTTAAGAGAATAAAAATTCACTATTTTATACCCTACCCTTCAACACATTATGTGGTGACCGGGTGAATGGTGTTTCTTTCATGTCCACTTCTCAGCAGGCTCTATTTGTCACTGATTTTGGTCCCATTGACAATGGTGAGTCAGCTTTGTTTTAGCTGACATAAGTGTATTCTTCACTCAATTGTTCTAAACCACCTTGTTTGTTATGCTCCCACTACTGGGGGCTGTGATTCTCAGTGCAGCCCATGATTCCAACAATGTATTAATTGGCTGATAAAGATAAATGAGGATGTCTCTCTAGGTACACCTTAAACACCAACTTTTATGACAAAGGAATAAAAAGAGTGACATATGGCTTCTTG